CCCGTAATCTGCCAGCACCCTATGTCAAAAAATTCAACACACCAGCAGTGTGTGAGGAGACCTGAAAGTGGCACATGGCAGAGTGTGGCGATGGAGACAGCAGCAATGGGAGGCCGTACAGGGACCCATGAGAGACTCTGGACTTGGCAGCAGCATGAGGAGGCGGTATAGGGGCCCATGGCAGATTAGGGGCCTGGCAGCAGCTATAGGAGGCCCGTAATCTGCCAGCACCCTATGTCAAAAAATTCAACACACCAGCAGTGTGTGAGGAGACCTGAAAAGTGGCCACACCCTATGGCAAAGTGTGGCGATGGAGACAGCAGCAATGGGAGGCCGTACAGGGACCCATGAGAGACTCTGGACCTGGCAGCAGCATGAGGAGGCGGTATATAGGGGCCCATGGCAGATTAGGGGCCTGGCAGCAGCTATGGGAGGCCCGTAATCTGCCAGCACCCTATGTCAAAAAATTCAACACACAGCAGTGTGTGAGGAGACCTGAAAGTGGCACATGGCAGAGTGTGGCGATGGAGACAGCAGCAATGGGAGGCCGTACAGGGACCCATGACAGACTCTGGACTTGGCAGCAGCATGAGGAGGCGGTATATAGGGGCCCATGGCAGATTAGGGGCCTGGCAGCAGCTATGGGAGGCCCGTAATCTGCCAGCACCCTATGTCAAAAAATTCAACACACCAGCAGTGTGTGAGGAGACCTGAAAGTGGCACATGGCAGAGTGTGGCGATGGAGACAGCAGCAATGGGAGGCCGTACAGGGACCCATGAGAGACTCTGGACCTGGCAGCAGCATGAGGAGGCGGTATATATAGGGGCCATGGCAGATTAGGGGCCTGGCAGCAGCTATAGGAGGCCCGTAATCTGCCAGCACCCTATGTCAAAAAATTCAACACACCAGCAGTGTGTGAGAGGAGACCTGAAAGTGGCACATGGCAGAGTGTGGCGATGGAGACAGCAGCAATGGGAGGCCGTACAGGGACCCATGACAGACTCTGGACTTGGCAGCAGCATGAGGAGGCGGTATATAGGGGCCCATGGCAGATTAGGGGCCTGGCAGCAGCTATGGAGGCCCGTAATCTGCCAGCACCCTATGTCAAAAAATTCAACACACCAGCAGTGTGTGAGGAGACCTGAAAGTGGCACATGGCAGAGTGTGGCGATGGAGACAGCAGCAATGGGAGGCCGTACAGGGACCCATGACAGACTCTGGACCTGGCAGCAGCATGAGGAGGCGGTATATAGGGGCCTGGCAGATTAGGGGCCTGGCAGCAGCTATAGGAGGCCCGTAATCTGCCAGCACCCTATGTCAAAAAATTCAACACACCAGCAGTGTGTGAGGAGACCTGAAAGTGGCACATGGCAGAGTGTGGCGATGGAGACAGCAGCAATGGGGAGGCCGTACAGGGACCCATGAGAGACTCTGGACCTGGCAGCAGCATGAGGAGGCGGTATATAGGGGCCCATGGCAGATTAGGGGCCTGGCAGCAGCTATAGGAGGCCCGTAATCTGCCAGCACCCTATGTCAAAAAATTCAACACACCAGCAGTGTGTGAGGAGACCTGAAAGTGTGGCACATGGCAGAGTGTGGCGATGGAGACAGCAGCAATGGGAGGCCGTACAGGGACCCATGAGAGACTCTGGACCTGGCAGCAGCATGAGGAGGCGGTATATAGGGGCCCATGGCAGATTAGGGGCCTGGCAGCAGCTATAGGAGGCCCGTAATCTGCCAGCACCCTATGTCAAAAAATTCAACACACCAGCAGTGTGTGAGGAGACCTGAAAGTGGCACATGGCAGAGTGTGGCGATGGAGACAGCAGCAATGGGAGGCCGTACAGGGACCCATGACAGACTCTGGACTGGCAGCAGCAGCATGAGGAGGCGGTATAGGGGCCCATGGCAGATTAGGGGCCTGGCAGCAGCTATGGGAGGCCCGTAATCTGCCAGCACCCTATGTCAAAAAATTCAACACACCAGCAGTGTGTGAGGAGACCTGAAAGTGGCACATGGCAGAGTGTGGCGATGGAGACAGCAGCAATGGGAGGCCGTACAGGGACCCATGAGAGACTCTGGACCTGGCAGCAGCATGAGGAGGCGGTATATAGGGGCCCATGGCAGATTAGGGGCCTGGCAGCAGCTATGGGAGGCCCGTAATCTGCCAGCACCCTATGTCAAAAAATTCAACACACCAGCAGTGTGTGAGGAGACCTGAAAGTGGCACATGGCAGAGTGTGGCGATGGAGACAGCAGCAATGGGAGGCCGTACAGGGACCCATGAGAGACTCTGGACCTTGGCAGCAGCATGAGGAGGCGGTATATAGGGGCCCATGGCAGATTAGGGGCCTGGCAGGCAGCTATATGGGGGCCCGTAATCTGCCAGCACCCTATGTCAAAAAATTCAACACACCAGCAGTGTGTGAGGAGACCTGAAAGTGGCACATGGCAGAGTGTGGCGATGGAGACAGCAGCAATGGGAGGCCGTACAGGGACCCATGAGAGACTCTGGACCTGGCAGCAGCATGAGGAGGCGGTATATAGGGGCCCATGGCAGATTAGGGGCCTGGCAGCAGCTATGGGAGGCCCGTAATCTGCCAGCACCCTATGTCAAAAAATTCAACACACCAGCAGTGTGTGAGGAGACCTGAAAGTGGCACATGGCAGAGTGTGGCGATGGAGACAGCAGCAATGGGAGGCCGTACAGGGACCCATGAGAGACTCTGGACCTGGCAGCAGCATGAGGAGGCGGTATATAGGGGCCCATGGCAGATTAGGGGCCTGGCAGCAGCTATGGGAGGCCCGTAATCTGCCAGCACCCTATGTCAAAAAATTCAACACACCACCAGCAGTGTGTGAGGAGACCTGAAAGTGGCACATGGCAGAGTGTGGCGATGGAGACAGCAGCAATGGGAGGCCGTACAGGGACCCATGAGAGACTCTGGACCTTGGCAGCAGCATGAGGAGGCGGTATATAGGGGCCCATGGCAGATTAGGGGCCTGGCAGCAGCTATAGGGAGGCCCGTAATCTGCCAGCACCCTATGTCAAAAAAAAATTCAACACACCAGCAGTGTGTGAGGAGACCTGAAAGTGGCACATGGCAGAGTGTGGCGATGGAGACAGCAGCAATGGGAGGCCGTACAGGGACCCATGAGAGACTCTGGACTTGGCAGCAGCATGAGGAGGCGGTATATAGGGGCCCATGGCAGATTAGGGGCCTGGCAGCAGCTATGGGAGGCCCGTAATCTGCCAGCACCCTATGTCAAAAAATTCAACACACCAGCAGTGTGTGAGGAGACCTGAAAGTGGCACATGGCAGAGTGTGGCGATGGAGACAGCACAATGGGAGGCCGTACAGGGACCCATGAGAGACTCTGGACCTGGCAGCAGCATGAGGAGGCGGTATATAGGGGCCCATGGCAGATTAGGGGCCTGGCAGCAGCTATGGGAGGCCCGTAATCTGCCAGCACCCTATGTCAAAAAATTCAACACACCAGCAGTGTGAGGAGACCTGAAAGTGGCACATGGCAGAGTGTGGCGATGGAGACAGCAGCAATGGGAGGCCGTACAGGGACCCATGAGAGACTCTGGACCTGGCAGCAGCATGAGGAGGCGGTATATAGGGGCCCATGGCAGATTAGGGGCCTGGCAGCAGCTATAGGAGGCCCGTAATCTGCCAGCACCCTATGTCAAAAAATTCAACACACCAGCAGTGTGTGAGGAGACCTGAAAGTGGCACATGGCAGAGTGTGGCGATGGAGACAGCAGCAATGGGAGGCCGTACAGGGACCCATGAGAGACTCTGGACCTGGCAGCAGCATGAGGAGGCGGTATATAGGGGCCCATGGCAGATTAGGGGCCTGGCAGCAGCTATATGGAGGCCCGTAATCTGCCAGCACCCTATGTCAAAAAATTCAACACACCAGCAGTGTGTGAGGAGACCTGAAAGTGGCACATGGCAGAGTGTGGCGATGGAGACAGCAGCAATGGGAGGCCGTACAGGGACCCATGAGAGACTCTGGACCTGGCAGCAGCATGAGGAGGCGGTATATAGGGGCCCATGGCAGATTAGGGGCCTGGCAGCAGCTATAGGGAGGCCCGTAATCTGCCAGCACCCTATGTCAAAAAATTCAACACACCAGCAGTGTGTGAGGAGACCTGAAAGTGGCACATGGCAGAGTGTGTGTGGGCGATGGAGACAGCAGCAATGGGAGGCCGTACAGGGACCCATGAGAGACTCTGGACCTGGCAGCAGCATGAGGAGGGAGGCGTATATATATAGGGGGGCCCATGGCAGATTAGGGGCCTGGCAGCAGCTAGGGAGCCCGTAATCTGCCAGCACCCTATGTCAAAAAATTCAACACACCAGCAGTGTGTGAGGAGACCTGAAAGTGGCACATGGCAGAGTGTGGCGATGGAGACAGCAGCAATGGGAGGCCGTACAGGGACCCATGAGAGACTCTGGACCTGGCAGCAGCATGAGGAGGCGGTATATAGGGGCCCATGGCAGATTAGGGGCCTGGCAGCAGCTATGGGAGGCCCGTAATCTGCCAGCACCCTATGTCAAAAAATTCAACACACCAGCAGCAGTGTGTGAGGAGACCTGAAAGTGGCACATGGCAGAGTGTGGCGATGGAGACAGCAGCAATGGGAGGCCGTACAGGGACCCATGAGAGACTCTGGACCTGGCAGCAGCATGAGGAGGCGGTATATAGGGGCCCATGGCAGATTAGGGGCCTGGCAGCAGCTATAGGAGGCCCGTAATCTGCCAGCACCCTATGTCAAAAAATTCAACACACCAGCAGTGTGTGAGGAGACCTGAAAGTGGCACATGGCAGAGTGTGGCGATGGAGACAGCAGCAATGGGAGGCCGTACAGGGACCCATGAGAGACTCTGGACTTGGCAGCAGCATGAGGAGGCGGTATATAGGGGCCCATGGCAGATTAGGGGCCTGGCAGCAGCTATGGGAGGCCCGTAATCTGCCAGCACCCTATGTCAAAAAATTCAACACACCAGCAGTGTGAGGAGACCTGAAAGTGGCACATGGCAGAGTGTGGCGATGGAGACAGCAGCAATGGGAGGCCGTACAGGGACCCATGAGAGACTCTGGACCTGGCAGCAGCATGAGGAGGCGGTATATAGGGGCCCATGGCAGATTAGGGGCCTGGCAGCAGCTATGGGAGGCCCGTAATCTGCCAGCACCCTATGTCAAAAAATTCAACACACCAGCAGTGTGTGAGGAGACCTGAAAGTGGCACATGGCAGAGTGTGGCGATGGAGACAGCAGCAATGGGAGGCCGTACAGGACCCCATGAGAGACTCTGGACCTGGCAGCAGCATGAGGAGGCGGTATATAGGGGCCCATGGCAGATTAGGGGCCTGGCAGCAGCTATGGGAGGCCCGTAATCTGCCAGCACCCTATGTCAAAAAATTCAACACACCAGCAGTGTGTGAGGAGACCTGAAAGTGGCACATGGCAGAGTGTGGCGATGGAGACAGCAGCAATGGGAGGCCGTACAGGGACCCATGAGAGACTCTGGACTTGGCAGCAGCATGAGGAGGCGGTATATAGGGGCCCATGGCAGATTAGGGGCCTGGCAGCAGCTATAGGAGGCCCGTAATCTGCCAGCACCCTATGTCAAAAAATTCACACACACAGTGTGTGAGGAGACCTGAAAGTGGCACATGGCAGAGTGTGGCGATGGAGACAGCAGCAATGGGAGGCCGTACAGGGACCCATGAGAGACTCTGGACCTGGCAGCAGCATGAGGAGGCGGTATATAGGGGCCATGGCAGATTAGGGGCCTGGCAGCAGCTATAGGAGGCCCGTAATCTGCCAGCACCCTATGTCAAAAAATTCAACACACACAGCAGTGTGTGTGAGAGACCTGAAAGTGGCACATGGCAGAGTGTGGCGATGGAGACAGCAGCAGCAATGGGGAGGCCGTACAGGGACCCATGAGAGACTCTGGACTTGGCAGCAGCATGAGGAGGCGGTATATAGGGGCCCATGGCAGATTAGGGGCCTGGCAGCAGCTATGGGAGGCCCCCGTAATCTGCCAGCACCCTATGTCAAAAAATTCAACACACCAGCAGTGTGTGAGGAGACCTGAAAGTGGCACATGGCAGAGTGTGGCGATGGAGACAGCAGCAATGGGAGGCCCGTACAGGGACCCATGACAGACTCTGGACCTGGCAGCAGCATGAGGAGGCGGTATATAGGGGCCCATGGCAGATTAGGGGCCTGGCAGCAGCTATGGGAGGCCCCGTAATCTGCCAGCACCTATGTCAAAAAATTCAACACACCAGCAGTGTGTGAGGAGACCTGAAAGTGGCACATGGAGAGTGTGGATGGAGACAGCAGCAATGGGAGGCCGTACAGGGACCCATGAGAGACTCTGGACCTGGCAGCAGCATGAGGAGGCGGTATATAGGGGCCCATGGCAGATTAGGGGCCTGGCAGCAGCTATGGAGGCCCGTAATCTGCCACACACCCTATGTCAAAAAATTCAACACACCAGCAGTGTGAGGAGACCTGAAAGTGGCACATGGCAGAGTGTGGCGATGGAGACAGCAGCAATGGGAGGCCGTACAGGGACCCATGAGAGACTCTGGACCTTGGCAGCAGCATGAGGAGGCGGTATATAGGGGCCCATGGCAGATTAGGGGCCTGGCAGCAGCTATGGGAGGCCCGTAATCTGCCAGCACCCTATGTCAAAAAATTCAACACACCAGCAGTGTGTGAGGAGACCTGAAAGTGGCACATGGCAGAGTGTGGCGATGGAGACAGCAGCAATGGGAGGCCGTACAGGGACCCATGAGAGACTCTGGACCTGGCAGCAGCATGAGGAGGCGGTATATAGGGGCCCATGGCAGATTAGGGGCCTGGCAGCAGCTATGGGAGGGCCCGTAATCTGCCAGCACCCTATGTCAAAAAATTCAACACACCAGCAGTGTGTGAGGAGACCTGAAAGTGGCACATGGCAGAGTGTGGCGATGGAGACAGCAGCAATGGGAGGCCGTACAGGGACCCATGAGAGACTCTGGACTGGCAGCAGCATGAGGAGGCGGTATATATATAGGGGCCCATGGCAGATTAGGGGCCTGGCAGCAGCTATGGGAGGCCCGTAATCTGCCAGCACCCTATGTCAAAAAAAATTCAACACACCAGCAGTGTGAGGAGACCTGAAAGTGGCACATGGCAGAGTGTGGCGATGGAGACAGCAGCAATGGGAGGCCGTACAGGGACCCATGAGAGACTCTCTGGACCTGGCAGCAGCATGAGGAGGCGGTATATAGGGGCCCATGGCAGATTAGGGGCCCTGGCAGCAGCTATGGGAGGCCCGTAATCTGCCAGCACCCTATGTCAAAAAATTCAACACACCAGCAGTGTGTGAGAGACCTGAAAGTGGCACATGGCAGAGTGTGGCGATGGAGACAGCAGCAATGGGAGGCCGTACAGGGACCCATGAGAGACTCTGGACCTGGCAGCAGCATGAGGAGGCGGTATATAGGGGCCCATGGCAGATTAGGGGCCTGGCAGCAGCTATGGGAGGCCCGTAATCTGCCAGCACCCTATGTCAAAAAATTCAACACACCAGCAGTGTGTGAGAGAGACCTGAAAGTGGCACATGGCAGAGTGTGGCGATGGAGACAGCAGCAATGGGAGGCCGTACAGGGACCCATGAGAGACTCTGGACTTGGCAGCAGCATGAGGAGGCGGTATATAGGGGCCCATGGCAGATTAGGGGCCTGGCAGCAGCTATGGGAGGCCCGTAATCTGCCAGCACCCTATGTCAAAAAATTCAACACACCAGCAGTGTGAGAGAGACCTGAAAGTGGCACATGGCAGAGTGTGGCGATGGAGACAGCAGCAATGGGAGGCCGTACAGGGACCCATGAGAGACTCTGGACTTGGCAGCAGCATGAGGAGGCGGTATATAGGGGCCCATGGCAGATTAGGGGCCTGGCAGCAGCTATGGGAGGCCCGTAATCTGCCAGCACCCTATGTCAAAAAATTCAACACACCAGCAGTGTGTGAGGAGACCTGAAAGTGGCACATGGCAGAGTGTGGCGATGGAGACAGCAGCAATGGGAGGGCCGTACAGGGACCCATGAGAGACTCTGGACTTGGCAGCAGCATGAGGAGGCGGTATATAGGGGCCCATGGCAGATTAGGGGCCTGGCAGCAGCTATGGGAGGCCCGTAATCTGCCAGCACCCTATGTCAAAAAATTCAACACACCAGCAGTGTGAGGAGACCTGAAAGTGGCACATGGCAGAGTGTGGCGATGGAGACAGCAGCAATGGGAGGGCCGTACAGGGACCCATGAGAGACTCTGGACTGGCAGCAGCATGAGGAGGCGGTATATAGGGGCCCATGGCAGATTAGGGGCCTGGCAGCAGCTATGGGAGGCCCGTAATCTGCCAGCACCCTATGTCAAAAAATTCAACACACCAGCAGTGTGAGGAGACCTGAAAGTGGCACATGGCAGAGTGTGGCGATGGAGACAGCAGCAATGGGAGGCCGTACAGGGACCCATGACAGACTCTGGACTTGGCAGCAGCATGAGTGAGGCGGTATATAGGGGCCCATGGCAGATTAGGGGCCTGGCAGCAGCTATGGAGAGCCCGTAATCTGCCAGCACCCTATGTCAAAAAACACAACACACCAGCAGTGTGTGAGGAGACCTGAAAGTGGCACATGGCAGAGTGTGGCGATGGAGACAGCAGCAATGGGAGGCCGTGGCAGGGACCCATGAGACTCTGGACCTGGCAGCAGCATGAGGAGGCGGTACATAGGGGCCCATGGCAGATTAGGGGCCTGGCAGCAGCTATGGGAGGCCCGTAATCTGCCAGCACCCTATGTCAAAAAATTCAACACACCAGCAGTGTGTGAGGAGACCTGAAAGTGGCACATGGCAGAGTGTGGCGATGGAGACAGCAGCAATGGGAGGCCGTACAGGGACCCATGAGAGACTCTGGACCTGGCAGCAGCATGAGGAGGCGGTATATAGGGGCCATGGCAGATTAGGGGCCTGGCAGCAGCTATGGGAGGCCCGTAATCTGCCAGCACCCTATGTCAAAAAATTGAACACACCAGCAGTGTGAGGAGACCTGAAAGTGGCAGCACATGCAGAGTGTGGGGATGGAGGAATCAGCAGCACCAGCATTGTGGGAGTGAAAGCACATGGCAGAGTGTGGCGATGAGACAGCAGCAATGGGAGGCCGTACAGGGACCCATGAGAGCTCTGGCAGGCAGCAGCATGAGGAGGCGGTATATACAGGGGCCCATGGCAGATTAGGGGCCTGGCAGCCCACTATAGGGTAATCTGCAGGCAGCTAGGCAGCCCTGTTCAAGGACTGCCAGAGGACCCTATGGCAATGGCAGAGATGTGGCAGATGGAGACCAGCAGTGTGAGGAGGCCTGTACAAGGGCCATGGCATGACAGACTCTGGACCTGGCAGCAGCATGAGGAGGCAGGTATATAGGGGCCTTCCATGGCAGATTAGGGGCCTGGCAGCAGCTATGGGAGGCCCGTAATCTGCCAGCACCCTATGACAAAAAATGGAACACACCAGCAGTGTGTGAGGAGACCTGAAAGTGGCACATGTTTGCGGCATGTTCCATGGCGATTTAGTCAGGAGTCAGCAACAATGGGAAATCCAGTACCACGCCTGATTCATGACACAAACGCGGAGTCCCTGGCAGCAGATTTGGAGTGCAGTCGTGGCCCACCATAAGTAGTTACAATACAGGGCTCCTGCCGCACTTGGAGGAAACAACTGGCCAGCATGGCACGCACGCTAAAAATTTCTGGCCGCGTGTGTGAGGAGAGCCTTTCAAAGGGCCAAATTCAGCTCCAGTTGGGGCAAGCAGGGTCAAGTTTCGTTGCCCAGTAGACCCCAACCTGTCTACCAAGCCTGGACCACTTGGCAAGGGTGCTGTCCCTGGAGCAGTAGGAACCTAGGGCCTGTTGTGTTTAGGTCCTGCCTAGGTCCACCTGAATGCTGCTGCTGCATGCCCTGGGCTGAGTCAACCTCACTGCGCAGGTGAAGAAAGCTACTCAAAGGGACTGCAGACTGAGGCAGCCGATGTGTGGTGGAGTAACCAGCAATGTGGAGGAGCCCTCCATACCAGGGGGGCCCTTGGCCTCCTGCTGTATCTTTATCACGGTTTTCCCAGGCCACCAAATGGCGACGCGCTGCATATGCTGCCGCAACGCTGTAGTCCCAACATGGGCCCCCTGGCCACGCTTGACTTTCTGGCCACATAGTCGATCGACATACAGCTACGTTTACTTCCTCGGGCGGGCTGGCTTGACAAAAAATTGCCACACCGCAGAGTAGGAAACTTGTGAGCCCCGATACTCCTCACTGGCTGACTGCTGCTTCCTCTGTGCACACCGGCACCACTACTGGCCGTGGTGGTAGGCTGCAGTGGAGCTGGTGCTCTACTCCGTGGCCGTTTGCTCCACTGACACTGCTGCGACCCTGCTGCCTCCTGGGCAACCCACCGACTGTTTCGCTCGCTGCCAAGCTGCCACCCTCTTCTCCTGATGATGCGGAAGAAATTGCCTGATGACGACGAGGCTGCCAAGTGCGATCAACCTCCTCATCATCAATTAGGGTCTCCGCCTCACTACTAGCCCCCTCGGCTGCGTCTGGGGTCAGGAGACAGACCTGTCTCTAGACCGGCTACCGAGCCACTCTCCTCGCCACTACTTCTTCTTCGCCTGGCTGCTGAAAAGGCGGATGTCTCCCCCCGTTCCTGACCGCCCTCTGTTAGCTCTTCCTCACTGTACAGTGGGGCTGAGCCCACAGCATGCGATACTTCGCTTGGTGAGGGAACACCAAAGGACAGGGGCAGGTAGAGGACACGTGATTTCAGTGGGCTTGGTCCCGGGCCATGCCAACTAACGGTTGTGTCCCTGACGTACCCACCGACCGTTGGCTGTAGGTGTCAGAGGTGACCTGGGAAGAGGAAGACGACCGAGCCAACCAATCGATGACGGCAGGGTTGTCGGTGGAGACACGACCGCTGGATGACCCGGGAGCACTGGCCTCTGGCTGCGAATAGTGCTGCCTCGACCCCTTCCTCTGCTGCCACGTCTGCTCGCTCCCTAAAACATTGCCTCCTCTGCCACTCCTCTGCATGTTGTCTGACATACTCTTTAATTCAAACGATTCTGTGTCCCTGAGTAACAATTCTGTGTCCCTGAGTAACAATTCTGTGTCTGTCCCTGAGTAACAATTCTGTGGCCCTAAGTAACGGTTTCTGTGGCCCTCAGTAACAATTCTGTGTCCCTCAGTAACAATTCTGTGTCTGTCCCTGAGTAACAATTCTGTGGCCCTAAGTAACGGTTCTGTGGCCCTCAGTAACAATTCTGTGTCCCTGATAACATTTTATGTGGCCCTAAGTAACGGTTCTGTGGCCCTCAGTAACAATTCTGTGTCCCCTGAGTAACAATTCTGTGTCTGTCCCTAAGTAACAATTCTGTGGCCCTAAGTAACAATTCTGTGGCCCTCAGTAACAATTCTGTGTCCCTGAGTAACAATTCTGTGGCCCTAAGTAACAGTTCTGTGGCCCTCAGTAACAATTCTGTGTCCCTGAGTAACAATTCTGTGGCCCTAAGTAACGGTTCTGTGGCCCTCAGTAACAATTCTGTGTCCCTGAGTAACAATTCTGTGTCTGTCCCTGAGTAACAATTCTGTGGCCCTAAGTAACAATTCTGTGGCCCTCAGTAACAATTCTGTGTCCCTGAGTAACAATTCTGTGTCCCTAAGTAACGGTTCTGTGGCCCTCAGTAACAATTCTGATTCTGTGTCCCTCAGTAACAATTCTGTGTCTGTCCCTGAGTAACAATTCTGTGGCCCTAAGTAACGGTTCTGTGGCCCTCAGTAACAATTCTGTGGCCCTCAGTAACAATTCTGTGTCTGTCCCTGAGTAACAATTCTGTGGCCCTAAGTAACGTTCTGTGGCCCTCAGTAACAATTCTGTGTCCCTGATTAACAATTCTTTCTGTGGCCCTAAGTAACGGTTCTGTGGCCCTCAGTAACAATTCTGTGTCCCTCAAGAAACAATTCTGTGTCTGTCCCTGAGTAACAATTCTGTGGCCCTAAGTAACGGTTCTGTGGCCCTCAGTAACAATTCTGTGTCCCTGATTAACGTTTCTGTGGCCCTAAGTAAACGGTTCTGTGGCCCTCAGTAACAATTCTGTGTCCCTGAGTAACAATTCTGTGTCTGTCCCTGAGTAACAATTCTGTGGCCCTAAGTAACAGTTCTGTGGCCCTCAGTAAACAATTCTGTGTGTCCCTGAGTAACAATTCTGTGGCCCTAAGTAACGGTTCTGTGGCCCTCAGTAACAATTCTGTGTCCCTGAGTAACAATTCTGTGGCCCTAAGTAACGGTTCTGTGGCCCTCAGTAACAATTCTGTGTCCCTCAGTAACAATTCTGTGTCTGTCCCTGAGTAACAATTTACTGTGGCCCTAAGTAACGGTTCTGTGGCCCTCAGTAACAATTCTGTGTCCCTGATTAACGTTTCTTTGTGGCCCTAAGTAACGGTTCTGTGGCCCTCAGTAGTAACAATTCTGTGTCCCTCAAGTAACAATTCTGTGGCTGTGTCTGTCCCTGAGTAACAATTCTGTGGCCCTAAGTAACGGTTCTGTGGCCCTCAGTAACAATTCTGTGTCCCTGAGTAAACTTTTTCTGTGGCCCTAAGTAACAATTCGGTTCTGTGGCCCTCAGTAACAATTCTGTGTCCCTGAGTAACAATTCTGTGGCCCTAAGTAACGGTTCTGTGGCCCTCAGTAACAATTCTGTGTCCCTCAGTAACAATTCTGTGTCTGTCCCTGAGTAACAATTCTGTGGCCCTAAGTAACGGTTCTGTGGCCCTCAGTAACAATTCTGTGTCCCTGAGTAACAATTCTGTGGCCCTAAGTAACGGTTCTGTGGCCCTCAGTAACAATTCTGTGTCCCTGAGTAACAATTCTGTGTCTGTCCCCTGAGTAACAATTCTGTGGCCCTAAGTAACAATTCTGTGGCCCTCAGTAACAATTCTGTGTCCCTGAGTAACAATTCTGTGGCCCTAAGTAACGGTTCTGTGGCCCTCAGTAACAATTCTGTGTCCCTGAGTAACAATTCTGTGGCCCTAAGTAACGGTTCTGTGGCCCTCAGTAACAATTCTGTGTCCCTCAGTAACAATTCTGTGTCTGTCCCTGAGTAACAATTCTGTGGCCCTAAGTAACGGTTCTGTGGCCCTCAGTAACAATTCTGTGGCCCTGAGTAACAATTCTGTGGCCCTAAGTAACGGTTTCTGTGGCCCTCAGTAACAATTCTGTGTCCCTGAGTAACAATTCTGTGTCTGTCCCCTGAGTAACAATTCTGTGGCCCTAAGTAACGGTTCTGTGGCCCTCAGTAACAATTCTGTGTCCCTGAGTAACAATTCTGTGGCCCTAAGTAACGGTTCTGTGGCCCTCAGTAACAATTCTGTGTCCCTGAGTAACAATTCTGTGTCCCTAAGTAACAATTCCCTGAGTAACAATTCTGTGTGCCCTAAGTAACAATTTCTGTGGCCCTCAGTAACAATTCTGTGTGTCCCTGAGTAACAATTCTGTGTCTGTCCCTCAGTAACAATTCTGTGGCCCTAAGTAACAGTTCTGTGGCCCTCAGTAACAATTCTGTGTCCCTGAGTAACAATTCTGTGGCCCTAAGTAACAATTCTGTGGCCCTCAGTAACAATTCTGTGTCCCTGAGTAACAATTCTGTGGCCCTAAGTAACGGTTCTGTGGCCCTCAGTAACAATTCTGTGTCCCTCAGTAACATTCTGTGTCTGTCCCTGAGTAACAATTCTGTGGCCCTAAGTAACGTTTTCTGTGGCCCTCAGTAACAATTCTGTGTCCCTGAGTAACAATTCTGTGGCCCTAAGTAACGGTTCTGTGGCCCTAAGTAACAATTCTGTGGCCCTCAGTAACCCTTCTGTGTCTGTAACAAGTCTGTTC